GCTCTCTTTCTCTTATTGTTTTAATTTTAATTCCAGTATAGTTAACATACAGTGTTATATTAGTTTCAGGTGTACAATATAGTGATGCAACACTTCCATAGAACACCCAGTGCTCCTCACAAGTTCACTCCTTAATCCTCACCACCTATTTCACCCATCGCCCCACCCACCTCCCCTCTGATAACCATCAGTTTGTTTTCTATTTCTAAGACTCTATTTCTTGGTTTCTCTCTTTCTTTGTCTCTCTCTTCTTCTTTGATCACTTGCTTTGTTTCTTAAATTCCATGTGTGAATGAAATCATAATGACATTTGTCTTTCTCTGACTGACTTATTTTACTTAGCATTATACTCTCTACTTCCATCCATGTCATTGCAAATGGCAAGGTTTCATTCTGTTTTATGGCTGAATAATACACATATATATTTATATAAAACATCTTTATTCATCTATCAATGACCCTTGGGCTGATTCCATAATTTGGCTATTGTAAATAATGCTGCTATAAGCACAGGAGTGCATACATCCCTTTGAATTAGTGTTTTTGTATTTTGGGGGTAAATATGCAGCGGTTTGATTACTGGATCGTAGGGTAGTTCTATTTTTAACTTTTTGAGGAACTCCATAGTGTTTTCCACAGTGACTGCACCTGTTTACATCCCACCAACAGTGCCCAAGGATTCCTTTTTCTCCACATCCTTGCCAACACTTGTTCTTCTGCTTTTTATTTTAGCTGCTCTGACAGGTATGAGGTGATATCTCATTGTAGTTTTGATTTGCATTTTCCCTGATGATAAGTGATGTTGGGCATCTTTCATGTGTCTGTTGGCCAGGAGATTGCCATCTCTGTTGGTATCCCTCATCCAATTGGAGGCCTGAATACAAGGGATAGGCTGACCCTCCCATGAGTAGGAGGGAACTCCTCCTGCCTGACTGCTTTGAGCTGGGACAGTGGCCTTTACCCCCTTTTGGACTCCAACTGAAATATCACTCTTCTCAAGTTTTGAGCCTGCCAGCTTTTGGACTGAAACTTTTACCATTGGCTCTCCTGGGTCTCCAGCTTGTCAACTGTAGTTCCTTGGGACTTCTCAGCCTCTATAATCATGTGAAGCAGTTTCTTATTTTATATACACATACACATGCACACACAAGCACACATCTTCTATTGATTCTGTTTCTCTCTAGAGAATGATAATACAGTCTCAAAACTTAGGTTGGTATATTTTAAAATCTGTTCATTTTAAGTAAATATGGGAAAGAGTATGTTCATTCTTTTCTGCAGAGTTCCCAGCCTTGTATTTGAAAAGAGACTAAAGCACAATGGGAAAAAAATACCTTCTTACTAGGCTGTGATATGGTGTGAGTGTGTGTGTGTGTGTGTGTGTGTGTGCATACACATGTGTGCATTTGAGTAGGAGAAGCACCTATAATAGGATTTGGTTTCTAAGGACTAAAGCGAGAAAATAATGATGACTATTAAAACAGAGCTGTGTTATTTTATGCTATTTCACACATTATTTTTAGATGCTGCATTACTTATTCAAGAGCCTAGCTGGATGAAATGTGAAAATATGATTTATGCTAAATGCTCTTCAGGAGAAATAGTCTCTAGCTGGATGGGGGCAGGGCTTTTTCTTTAGGAAGATTTCCTCTGGTTATAGAAAATTGTTAAAAGTGCTGCCATTTCCCTCTAGTGGCAGGAAGGAAATAACACCCATTGAGGAGAACAATGTAAGATTAGAATGCTTTCATCCAGCAAAGAGACGAGCCTTCTTTTCTTCCTTCTTTTTGAATATAATGATCAATTGCCAATCATAAACTAAGCATTGCTACAGATAGGAAATGCCCTGCATCAGAGAATTTGTAACTGCATTGGGAAAGATGTGGTCAAAGTAAAAGAGAAACCTGACCACTGAATGGAGCCAGGACAACTTTGCGAAGTAGGTGACAAAATGATGGATGAGTCTCCTTTTCTCTATTACCTAGATTTCACCAGATATCCAGTGATAACAGAATCTACCTCCCCCTAAATTCTACCTCAAAGAATATTCTGGTCCTTTCTTGTTTGCTTCTATTCCCCTAATCTACATCAAAAGTTACCTTTCCATGTCCTATTGCCTCATAGTTCTGTTTTTCTCCTGCCTCTCATCAGTGATCCACAACACCTTGTACAATTATTGACTTCACTGCATTATTTTTTACTTAAAAATATTCTCTAGGGTTATTTTAATTCCAGTATAGTTAACACACAGTGTTAAATTAGTTTCAGGTGTACAATATAGTGATTCAAGAATTCTATATACTACTCAGATTACATTGTTTTAAAATCGTATGTTTTGGTGTCTATTCCTTCCTATCCCCACTAAATTTTGAACTCCTTAAAGTATAATCTAAATTTTACTCATCTTTGAGTCACAGGTGTCTAGCAGTGTCTGGAACTCAATAAACATTTGTTGAAATAAGGCATGCATGTGTCAATTAATGAACAAATGAATTTGGAAATAATTTAATAAATTAACAAGTCCATTGATTAAATATATTATTCATATTTGATATTATTAGGGAAATTGTGGGATAAGTACCTGAACTCCAAAGTGAAGCTCAAATAAAAATTATAGTAGAAAATAACCAGAAGGGGTGCCTGGGTAGCTCAGTCGATTAAGCATCTGACTTTTGATTTCATCTTAGGTCATGATCTTGGGACATGAGATTGAGCCCCATGTTGGGCTCCATGCTCATTGTGGAGTCTGCTGGAGATTCTCTCTCTCCTTCTGCCCTCTCCAAATAAATAAATAAATAAATAAATAAATAAATAAATAAATCTTTAAGAAAAATAAATAACTGAGAGATTGTTTTTTGTGAGGTTTTCCAGAATTCAGCCTTCTTAAAAATATGTTTGAGGGTGATCAGATGGATGGAAGCACTCACTGATACCAAGCATACTTTACACTCTCTACACATTAAATGGCAACATGCAAAGTTTGCTGTTTAATTATGATTCTCTCATGGGGGAAAAATGGAAGGAAACCTAGGGAATGAGAAATCTTATACTCAAAATTAAAATGACATTCAAAGCCTTTTGAAACTAGTGACTTTTCCCCTTTCAAAAATTAATTTTTTCTAGCTTCTTTTTCCTACTGAGAAAAAATAGATCATTTTAGATAGCCAAAAGAATATAAATTTTATGACCCAAAGAACACAAAAGTGAGGTCTGATTAATCATATGTTTTTAAGTAAAGAGAGGAGGTATCAGTCATGTCTATATCTCTCAGAAAAAAAAAACACACTAAGATAAAAGCTTATAAAAGGAAAATAAAGAAAAGGCACATTTTCCATATCCTAGATGAAAACATGTGACTTAAACATAGGACATATTTATATTTTAAATGCAAACTTCCCTAGACCATAGGTCATTGCACATGAGAGCTACCAATTCATCCCCCAAAATGAGCTGAGAACTTTTACTTCCAAGGAGGATATAGTAGGTCAAGACAGGATAAAACCCGGCTTGTAACAATTAGGAAATATTGGATACATTACCAAAAAAATCATTTTAAAAGCATCAGAGAGATGTGGAAGCAAAGAGGAGAGCAGAGTTAGTAAAATTCTAGCTGCATTTTTTTGCAAAAATTGAAAAGATGATCCTAAAATTTATATAGAAATGCAAAGAGCCCAGATACAAGTCTATATATTTATGGTCTATTGATTTTCAATAAGTATTTGGATAACAGCTGAGGGGGGAGATAATAGTCTTTCTGACAGATGGTGCTGGGACAAGTAGATATTCACATGCAAAAGAATGAAGTTGAACCTCTAATTTACACTATACATTAAAAAATAATTCAAAGTGGATCATAGAGTCACATGTAAGAGGTAAAATGGTAAAATTCTTAGAAGAAAAACAATTTCTTACATATAACATTAAAATCACAAGTGACAAAGGGAAAAATGAACAACAGCAAAATTAAAAGCCTTTGTGCTACCAATATTACTATCAAGACATTGAAAGTACAACCCACAAAATGAGGGGAAATATTTGCAAATAATATATGATAAGGGACCTGTATTCAGGGTACATAAAGAACACCTACAACAATAAAAGACAACCCAACTTTAAAATGGACAAGGAATTTGAATAGACATTTGTCTAAAGAAGATATACACAAATGGCCAATGAGCTCAACATCATTTGTCATTAGAGAAATGCAAGTCAAAACCATAATTAGCTTCTAGTTCACACCCATTTAGGATGGCCATAATTTAAAAGACAGACAATGGCAAATGTTTGCAAGGATGTGGAAAAATTTTAAGTTTCACAGATCGCTGGTAAAATGTAAAAGGTGCAGCCACTTTGGAAAATAGTCTGTCAGTTCCTCAAAAGTTTCAACATAGAATAACCATATGAACCTGCAATTCCACTTGTAGTATATACCCAAGAGAAATGAAAACATATATCCATACAAAAATGTGTGCACAAATATTCATAGCAACATGATTCACAACAGATAAAAGTGGAAAGAAGCCACATGTCTATCAACTGATGAATGAATAAATAAAATGTAGTATATCCTTAGAGTAAAATATTAGCCATAAAAAGGAATGAAGTATTGATATATCCTGCAACATTGATGACCCTTGAAAACATGCTAAGTGAAAGAAGCCAGTTATAAGAGGCCACATATATATAGTTCTATTTATATGACATTTCCACAAACTTCCACTTATTTCCAATAAGCAAATCCATAAAGACAGAAGGTAGATTTGTGGTTTCCAGGGATTGGAGGGAGGAGAGAATTCTGGAGTGACTGCTAATGTGTAGGGGATTTCTTTAAAGGGTAATAAAAATATTCTGGAATTATACTACTTCTGGGTATTCATACAAAGAAAACAAAAATACCAATTTGAAGAAATAGAAGTATCCTTATGTTTATTGCAGAATTATTTACAATAGCTAAGATATGGAAGCAACCTAAGTGTCCATCAATAGATGAATGAGTAAAGAAGATGTAGTACATATACACAATGGAATATTAATCAGCCATAAAAAAGAACAAGATCTTGCCACTTGTGACGACATGGGTGGATCTAGAGGGTGTAATGCTAAGTAAAATAAGTCAGACAAAGACAAATACCATATGATTTCACTTATATGTGTAATCTAAAAACAAAACAAATAAAAAAGACAAAATAGAAACATACTCATAGATACAGGAAACAGACTATTGGTTACCAGAGGGGAGGGTTTGAGAGTTAGATGAAACAAGTGGAGCATTAGGAGGTACAACTTTCCAGTTATAAAATAAATGAGACATGGAGATGTAATGTACAGCATAGAGAATATAGTCACTAATATCGTAATTAACTTTCTATGGTGACAGATGGTGACTAGACTTCTCATGGAAATTATTTCATAATTTATAAAAATATTGAATCACTATGATGTACACCTGAAACTAATAGGATATTATACATTAATTATACTTCAATTAAAAATATTCTGAAGTTATACTGATATTTACACAACTTTGTTAATATACTAAACACTATTTGTACACTTTAAAACTGATTTTTATGGTATATGATTCTCATTTAAAAAATCAAGAGCATTCTAAATTATCTAGTTTTTCCACAATAGAGCAATACATGGGATGTATGTCTGAGACATGTTGGACAGAGACATATCAGTGATTTGAAGCTTCATGGCATGCTAATCTGTGGGTCTCAGAATCCTTATGTTCTCCATTTACCTAAAAATTATTCTTCTGTGGGGTGCCTGGGTGGCTTAGTTGGTTAAGTGTCTGCCTTGAGCTTGGGTCATGATCCCAGGGTCCTGGGATCAAGCCCCGCATCAGGTTCCCTGCTCAGTGTGGCGTCTGCCTCTCCTTCTCCCTTTGCCACCCCCCCCCCGCCCACTGCTCATGCTCTGTCTCAAATAAATAAATAAAATCTTTTTTAAAAATTGTTCTTCTGTTGATCTCAGTGTGCCCCTTCTTTCCTCTTTTCTTCCTATCCACAACTTTGTCCTCTACCAAATATACAAGTCATTTCTACTGTAAATTTTAGCTCTTCTTTTCTATATTCTAGACATTATGATTTGCAGTATGTTCAGTGACTAAGTCCAGAAGTGAACATTATCCAAGGCAATGTTTTCAAAATGTATCAAAATCACTGGGCGAGAGAGTCTAGTCTATTGTTGACCATCTGCATACTTCAATACCGGGGCAAGTGCACCAAGAAGTCTTCCCCATTCCAAATACTGCAGGTGGAAGGCTTGGCAATTCTCTCCACTTAGGGGAAATTTTTCTTGTGTCAAATTCACCCATTAAAGTTACAGATTCACTCAAGGACACTGAAGTCTATCTTTCCTTCTATATTTGAATGAACAGAGCAAGAGCATTCTGACAGGGGTCAAAGGATACAACATCTATGGAGTTATTTGCAATACAACTGGGAAAAATCAAAGGAAAAAAATATTATCTGTGTCCCTCAGAGGCAAACAGGAAATCCTTCTGATGGTTATCTGGCTAACATGTCTTAGCATGGCTATGACTCACCCTCTATTCCCTGGTGTATTTCTAGCAAGTACCCTAACCATAGCTTGAGCCCAGGAGTACTGCAGGTCTTCACAATTCCCCTTATCCCCTACCCTCCATGTCTCAGGCAGCCTGAGATCTGATAAGGATGGGGTAACAATATATAAATGTTCCAAATGGGTGGCTGGAAAAAGTGATGTCACAGGGGAAACAACAATCAAATGCATAGGCCAAACCTGCTTCTGTATTACAATAAGGTAAGAATCAATCTGAAAATAAGGCCTCTGAAAGCAACTGAAACTTTTTTCTTAAAACAATCCCCATCAAGACCAAAAACTAATTACCTTTAAAAGAATCACAAACTATTATCATTTTTACACAATAATAAGGATTTCATTACATTTTTAATTTGCAAAGTTAAAAAGAGTGATCTCCCTTCCCCAATATTAAAGAAAAAAAATCTCACTTTCTAGAACCACTAACTGGGAGCCACTTTTGGTCCAGCTGAGTTTATTTTCCTGGTTGTTTTTTCTGTTCTCAGACTGACAACAATGAATACCAATAGCAGTCCTGAGAAGTCCACCTTTGTCCCTTCTACTCAGCGAACCATGCTCCACATTGGAAAATGAAGAATTGGCCTGAGGGTAAAGAAAGTTAATGACTACATCCAGAATGAAGCAGAAGTTAAAACATTGGTTAGACAATGACCGGGAAAGCACTTAAACATTGTGATGCCCAGCTATATCTCTGAACAATTAAATCAGAAATTTCTGGGCATGGGACCCAAGAATCAGTATTTTTAAAAACTCCTTGAGTGGTTCCAATGAATAGCCAAGATTGAGAAATACTGGTCTAGAAGAAAGAGAAAGATGATCCTAACATCTGAAACTCAAAATCACATGACATTTGATTCCATGCAGTTATCCTAGAACCCCAAAGCTTCCAGCCCTGCCACCATCACCAAGCAGAAGGTAGGATTCCCTTTTCTTATATTCCATTCTTCCAGCTGTAATTCCTCCTTTCAACTTTTTCTCCATTTAAGATGCCTTGAAGTTCAAGTTAACTTAGTTTTATCTGGTTATACCTATTGCACTAGTGCAGCAGGCAGGTGCTTGCTTTAATCACTACCATCTCCTCTCTCATTCCTCATGTGTCACTCAATTTCTATAGGTCAGTGAGTCTCTAGGTATTGTTTCCACACCCGAGCGAGGCATTGGCATCACCTGGGAATACATGTAAATGATGCATGAGTTCCACTTGCAAAATGAGAAACTCTGGGGAAGGAGTCCATCAGTCTGTGTTTTTAAAGGCCTTCAGATGATTCTGATGAATGCTAAAGACAGAACCACTGCTCGGGCATCCATGAGATAGCAGTTGAGGCCCCTGCTATGCAGCTCAAAGCCAACCAGATAGTACACCCCTTTAGAAGGGGTGCAGAGGAGTGGAGGCAATGCTGGGACAAAACACAGAAGCCACCTTTACATTAAATAACTATACCAATATAAGCAGCATTAGTAGCAGGGGACTTAAGAGACCATAACCCTTGAATCTATTTCTGCTGTATTTCCTACCAACCCCTCCTGTCTCCTCTGTGTCCATGGATTTTCTTTTAGTTGAACAGCAATCTATTGAGGATACACATATCCCTATTTTGAACATTACTTCTCTCACAGGACAGTGATTCTCCCTCTGAGTTTTCCAAAATATGAATGTATACGTAGTACTTGCCATTCATTTCATTGTTCAAGAGCCAAATAAGAAGAATACAGTTTGGGGGGGGCAGGGAAGGAACGTGGCTTCAGTCCCAGACCCTTAATTCATCAGCACGTATTTATTTATTCTATAGTAGAGTGTTATGGTAGATGTTGTTAACATCTGACCTAACACTTCATTAGGCTATTTTGATTTTTTTAAATTTTATTTTATTATGTTAATCACCATACATTACATCATTAGTTTTTGATGTAGTGTTCCATGATTCGTTGTTTGCATATAACACCCAGTGCTCCATTCAATACATGCCCTCTTTAATACCCATCACCAGGCTAACCCATCCCTCCACCCAGCCCTCTCTAGAACCCTCAGTTTGTTTCTCAGGGTCCATAGTCTCTCATGGTTCATCTCCCCTTCCAATTTCACCCTCTTCATTTTTCCCTTCCTACTATCTTCTCTCTTTTTTTTTTTTAACATATATTATTTGTTTCAGAGGTATAGTTCTGTGATTCATCAGGCTTACACAATTCACAGCGCTCACCATAGCACATACATTGTGCTATGTATCACCCAGCCACCCCATAGCCCCACCACTAGAGCAACCGTCAGTTCGTTTCCTGAGATTAAGAGTTCCTCATATCAGTGAGATCATATGATACATGTCATTCTCTGACTGACTTATTTCACTTAGCATAATACCCTCTAGTTACACCCATGTTGTTGCAAATGGCAAGATTTCAGGTTTTTCTGATGGCTCCATAATATTCCATTATATATATATATATATATATATATATATATATATATAT